TTAAATTCCACATTTCCTCAAGTATATTATCAAAAAAAAATTCAAAAGACTTCAAACGTCATTTGCATAGTTCATTGACATGAACTTCAGTTTAGTTTGCGTATGTCTCAAGAAAATGTTATGACGCACAAGAAAAGCAGTAGGTAAACTTTGTAATCGTCTTATGTCTATTTGTTTAATGCATTCGAAAGATTCTGAACTTTTTTGACATGTCTGCTATCGACTTTATATAGAAAATATGTGAAGAATGCTCGACAATCATCAAGAAATTTGAAACTGATCAAAATTATCAAAAATAATCAAATAGATATTTTTAAAAATTGAACATCATTTAAAAACTAACCCTAAATGCATATTTGTTGATGTCATCAACATCATTCATTATTCTCGCCACAAAATGATTCCAATAAAAACAACATTAATTTCTTTTAGTTGCAAGTTCCAATCGATAATGTTGGTAAACATGTAAATAAACTTACCCATCCAAATAAATAATCTACGAGATTACTTCTTAATTATCCATTCAGCATTATCTTAAGTATCATCGATATTAATCTTTCATGCGGAACTAAAGTTGTTTGATCTACTTATCAACACTAATTATCTCCACGCGAAATATTCTATTAATTTCTATTAATTACATTAAAATTTTTTCACAATTTTCCATCTAAAGTCAAATATTGGATCTTCTTTAAAAATTAATTAAATAAGAAAACTTTTCAAGTTTTGATAATGAAATCTTAAATTAGAAATTTAATTAACTCGTTTTATCATGTAAATATGGCATAAATTAAACTGTTTGCTCATTAATCTTAATTAGACTAAATTATTAAAGTCGCGTGGAAATAAACGAAATAAAATAAAAGTTTCATCATCTTCATGCATTTTGGCACTTCGCTGTGCGACAATATAAAAATACAAAGCGAATTTCAAAAGACTTTTAATGGCTTTACGATGCATAATTTTCTGATGTTTTTGACGCAACAATCGCAAAGTTATTTTTTTGCATTTATTTGCCAATAATAAGTTGCGATTAGATTTTATAATTTTTTAATTTACATTATAAATTATGTTATGGTCACATGTTGTGAAATCATGGCTTTGATGACAAAATTTAAAGGTCATTAACAACTGCTTTCCTATGTTTAGACAAGTGAATCGTCTAGTTTCCGTAAATAAATGAATGCAGTGTGTTTAAAGTATCTGCTTCATGTTTTCATCAGTTTTCATAAAAAAATTGGAATTTTCTAGTAAAATATTTTGCTGTGGTTATTTTTAAAAATGGAAAATCATCATGTGCTCTCTAGTCAGAAGAGGATTTACTATGAGGATGATTGTGTTTTGCTTAAATCAGGGGCGTAGCCAGGGAGGGCCATAGGGGGCCCTGGCCCCCCAACGAAAATCTGATAATTGTTTTATTAAGTATTTATAGAGAAGAACCAGTTTGTTTAATTTTCGAAAATGGGCCCCCCCCCTTAAAAATTTTCTGGCTACGCCCCTGGCTTAAATAGACCAATGTCAGAGTCAGACAGTGCAGATACCAAGCTGCTGCTAAGCACTGATGTTGATAAGACTCAGAGTATTTTTATAGGCACCTTCATGTAGCTCTAGAGCCAGAATCTGAAGCTATTTGAGGCATCTTATCCTCAAATCGTCTTTTAATGTCCTCCACATTGAAATATACATAAAAATCACTTTTGATGGGATTAACGTGGTGTAGGTATTTTTAAAAATAGGCCTCTGAAGATGACCAAATTAATTTCCTTTAAATTAAGGATAAAAAGATTATTATTTTCCATAAAACCACCCAAAAGTTTGAAGACCCTCTTCAAAAATTCCACACTTCTTATATCTTCTACAATTCTCAATGCTTTCTAGCAAAAACAATAATAACCTTTTAAAATAAATCGAATTTTATTTAAAGAAACTTTTTGTTTAAATTAAAAATTTTCTTCTTTAAGCACGCGAAGCTCAATAATTACTTCAAGTTTAATTCTCTAATGAATCACACACACCTTCTTTTCTCATCGACCTTTTTCTTTCGCAAAAATTTTCTCGTGCGATGTGAAGAGATTCCGATTATCTGCGTCATTTAAACATTTTTCTCGTTAATTTAATCACATCTTGAATGTGAGAAATTCTCTAAGGCGATGAAAATATTGAGTCAGAAAAAGTTTTTCATTTTATTTTTTTTTCGAGGGAAAAAATTGTTCGAGAGATTAAAAGACAAACAGAGAAGAAAAATGTCAACGAGTACTAATGAAATTTTTATTACTTCGAGGAAGTTCTGTTTTTATGAATCATTTTTTTTTTTGTGAAGGAAAATTTGTGAATGAATTTTTTTCTGTGAATAAAATTGGAATTTTTTGATTTTTCGACATAAAATTTTGAAATTTATATATCAACCTTAACTGAATCCTAATCCCAAAATTCCAATTTTAAAAAACTTCAATTAATCAAGAAATGAACAAAAAACATCGAAAAAGTCACAGACATCCAAACCACAAATTCCCTCCTATAAATAAATCAAAATACTCAATAGTTCAAGGTCATTAACACCCAATCACATCGACATTACCAAATCTTAATGTAAAACTTCCCAGAATCGACGCCACAAAAAAAAAACCTTACGAAAATCACCTCCTGAGGCCATTAGCATCTTGAGACGAAAAAAATCTCCCGTCTGCATGCATTTCGCTCGTGACCTTTTATTTTCTAACGATAATCATTGTGATTAACAGAAAATGTCTATTTCTCATCTGTGATGCTACAATGTTTTCTTTCTATTTTCACGTCGCCGATATTCGTAGAAATGAATTTACATGCTTGTGTAAGCTTGGGAAATTTATTTAGACATTTATTGGCTATAAAAGTGGCATGAATGATGATCACTAATGATGGGGATGATTTAAAAGGATTTAATGTATTTTTAAGTGGTCATTATGATATTTTTTGATTGATATTTAAATTGTGACCTAAAATTTTGATTTTTTGATTATGAAATTTTTTTTTGCAAATTTAATTAATTTTTGAAGATTGCTGATAAAAATTTTTGTGTCCAATTTATGGGTATTGAGCAATTTAGTGCTTTTTCAATTTTGATTGATAAAATCATCCGATTTTCAAACTTTTAACTTACTAAGTTTTCAAAGCGATCTCTTTTGTTTCCTCAAAACTAATTCTTTCTTTAAATGTTCTCTTTCAAAAACTTAAAATTTCAAAAATCGCAAAATCTCTGTTTACATTTCAAGCGATTACGTTTTTTAAAATTCAATCAAAATAAGCATTTTGCAGCACTTTGTTTAAATTGTTTACAAATGCAGTAATGAAAGCTTTGAGATAATATTTTAAATTGTGAATTCTTTGAGAATAGCAAAATATTTTGAATAGCTTTGACGAAGAAATTAAACTGAACTCAAGAAATAAATTCTTAGAAAATGAGATTAAACAATTTTGAGGAGTTATTAAAATAATGAATTGTTGGTTAAATAATAACAAGAATTGATAATATTTTGATGAGGTTTCTGAATTCAGTAAAATGTAAAAGAGAACAAAATTAAATGGATTTTTAATTGCTCATTATCAAATCAGTACTTATTAACACCTTCATGACGCTAGTTTGAAATTATTGAAGGCCTTTTAAGCAATTAAAATATTCATAGATTTAAGAAAAATTGCATTAAAACAAGAATTTTAAATTGCTGATTGTATTCATTTGCAGCATAGTTTATCAGTAGTTATACAGTCTTTAATTCAAGTTTCTTCAATAATATGACTTCAACTGAGTGTACAAATTATTGTGTCAAAGCTTGAAATGTAGAAATATTTAATTTAGATTCAGTTAAAGTGTTGCAAATTACAGATTAAATCATGAATTAGATTTTAAAGCTATATGAATTAATTGGTAGATTCTGTTACAAGTAAGAGATAAAGTACTTTAATTAATAAATATTAAAATTCAAACAATATTGTTGTTTTTTCAATTATTCTTTACAAAGAAAATATAAAAATCATATTTACACATTAAAATATTGTCAAAACTCAATTAAATAGAATATAAAGTTTTAACTTGAAAATTTTCATCTTCTTGCGATTTAATTGTCATTTATTAATGCTCATAAATCTCAACAAAGTTTTATAAATTATAAAAAAATTTATAAAATATTTTTCAAAGAAACTCTTTTAAGCAATAATAATTCCCACAAAAGATATAAATCGGAAGCGTGTGGAAGTAGGAAAGAAAGTTTATTGAATGTAAAGATGTGTCAATTAGCTTCAACAGCCCATTAAACTTAAACTGATTGATTCGATAATTATTTTAATTAAATACCAAATGATTGAAATTTTGCCAATTTCAATTATTTATCTTTTTTTTTTGAGATTAATTCATACAATTAAAGAAATTCCGAAGGAGTAAATTAATTTTGATATCACGAGTTTGTTAATGAAATTTAAAAGATTAATTTGAAATTCGTGTTTGAAAAAAGAGGGTTTTTCATAATATTTTGAATGGACTTGTTTTAGATGCACACAAAAAATGGAACTCGTTTATTGATTAAAATGAAATATTAGGGACTCGTTTTTTTATTTTTAGGTGATAAACTTTAAAACAAAAATATTAAATTTCGAAGTTCAAAATAAATAAATTATCTTAGCTTCTTTAATTTGCACCTCATTTGCTGCAAACCTGATGCTAATAGTAAAAACCTGATACCTAAATTCTTCTCAACATTAAAATTTTTCAAAAAAAATCTGTTTAAAATTAGACACAAAAGTCAATTTTCTCTCAATTGCAAAATTTCAATATTGTTGCACTTTTTCTTACGCAAATACCTCAAACTAATTTCATCCGTTACTCAATACAACACAAACGTTTTCTTCTTCTTCCTATCTTCATTTCATAAATGAATTTCAAGCCACAATAAAAAAAAACTCTTTCAACAAAATATTCAACTATAAAATATTTAAATTTTCAGTAGTAGCAACTCAACAAGTAAAGCATGAAGTCGAATCGATCGAGCAAATCAAATTCACCAAGCAAAAGTCACATATGTGATTACTCAATGGATCCACATGCTGAATTTGAGATGGAATTGAACAGGAGTTTAGGTAAGAAATATATATTCACAACTAAGATGTGCGGTTAAAAATAAAAACTTTACATCTGTAGATAAATCATGGCGTGAAAAGGCTGAGAAAGAACTGAATGAGAATAGCGAGGCAAAATCCAAAATAAGTCTGCTTAGAAATATGATAACATCATGTGATTTAAACAAGCGGGGACGTGAAGATGATGCATTTCTATTGAGATTCTTGCGTGCAAAGAAATTCGATGTTGACAAGTCATTTAAGATGATTCAAAAGTATTATTGGATGAAGGTGCATTCACCAGAATTATTTCACGTATCGCCACCATCAGATTTAAAATCAATGCTTGAAATGCAAATACAGTGCATGCTTCCACAACCAGATTTACAAGGACGACAAATTTATTTGTTTCGTGTCGGTATGTGACGTGATGTTAACACCTTTTTGTGTTTATCCATTCAAATTGCTCTAATTTTCATTTCCTTTATTTTCCATTGTGGACATGAATAGAAAAATGCGATCCATACAAAGTTCCTGTCGACCACGTATTCAGAAGTAATGTATTATCGTTAGAAGACGCCATCCGTTTGCCAGAAGTGCAAATCGGTGGACTTGTAGTACTTTTAGATATGTCAGGCTTAAGTTTAGGACATGCAAAATATTTATCGCCACATTTGGCACGGCGAACTGTTGAAGTCGTTCAAGAAGCTTTTCCACTACGTTTTAAAGCCTTCCATGTTCTGCACGAGCCATTTTATTTTGATGCCATTTTAGCGATGCTTAAGCCGTTCCTCAAAGATAAAATTCGTAGACGAGTATGACAATAAGATATTCATCTCCTTTTCTATTTCATAGTTCGTTAAATATTCTTGATTTTATTCCTTTTTATTTCTCATTCATTCCAGATTCATCTTCATGGAAATGATATGAATTCACTGTATAAGCACATACCGAAAGATTGCCTTCCAGCAGGTATATTTCAATTTATTTATTTTTTTTATCCTTTTTCCAGTTTGGTTGGATAGAAATGATGCTTGAAAATCAATCGAAATAGTTTGTTTTTGTAAATGGTTAACCTAAACAAATATCCAAAAAAAATTGTTGACGCAGGGAAATTGATTTTTTTGGGATCTGCTGATGTTTGTATTTTTACCATAATTCTTGAAAAGTAAAGCGCTTTTAAGGTTTTTGAAGCTGGCTTGATCTTAGTTTTTAGTTTTAAACATGGCCTAGTCTTTGTTTTAGTTCAGAACATTACTTAATCCCTCCTGGATCTTGGTTTATGGTTCCGAACATGACTTAATTCCTACTGGATCTTAGTTTTCGGTTCCTAACATGACTTGATTCCTACTGGATCTTAATTTTTGGTTTCGAACATGACTAAATCCCTACTGGATCTTGGGTCTTGTGTCCGAACATGACCTCAAATAACTCTTGGTTCCGAACATGACTTAATTCCTACTAGATTTTGGGGTTTGGTTCGGAACATGACCTAATCTTAGTCTTGGTTCCGAACATGACTTGAGTATAACTTTACTAATCTTCGTAAGTAAAATGCGCTTTGTTCGTTTGTTCACAAATATAAAAGCGGCTTCTTTACTACCTATAAAGATGGTCATTGATATTTGTTGTGGGATACGGAAGTGGTTTTTGAGCTAAGATGCATTAAGCTTAGTCTCTGAAGCCTATTTTGCTCCATTGTATATTATATGTAGAACTGTGTGGCTCCTATTTGCCAACTCGCAAGCCGTTTTTAAAGACATACTAAAATTTGGCTCTCATACTTCAGTTATTTTACTTCCAGTTATCATCTTCTATCCAACCAAATCGACCATAAAATTTCCATCATCTAAAACCCTAAAGAATTACATTAGCTTATCCTTATCATCTTTTAATATTTTTTCTAGAATACGGCGGTACACAACCTCCATTCGATAACTCAATTTGGCGATCGAGAATATTGAATAATGAGGAATATTTTAGACGACTAGAATCATACAATAATGGCTGTGAAAATGAGATAATCAATAACAATAACAATGAAATGTATCACAACCATAAAAATGTTATAGATGACGTAGATTCGCTATCTGACGATGAAATTTATATCGATGCTGAGGATGATAACAAGTCGTTAGATGTCGAGATTGATGGCAACAGTTTACATTTTATTGATACAGAAACTGAAGATTCAGAAGAATATGACAGTGATCGTATACTATCGCCTCGCAAGAAGGTGCCACCAATGGAGAGCTTGGAGGAAATGTTTCTCAAACATGAATTTAGCACATTTACATTAAACGAAAAGGAATTTGAAGAAGTTAAGCCATAAAAATAAGATATAATGCTTCCTACTAAAACTTTTTATTTGTTTTATGGAAGAAAAAAGCGTTCCAATGAGAATCTAGATTTTTTTCTTTTTGTATCTCAGACCTTGGGAGAGTCAAAAAGTTTGACTTTTGAACTTTCTTTTTTATTTGCTCAAAATTATCAACAAAAGAATTTTTCTCACTTTTCTTTTTTACACTGATGCATGACCTTTTTAGTTCTCGAAAGAAAAACAAAACACAAAAAAAGTTTGTTAAGCCTACACAAAAAAGGCAAGCTTTTGTTTTCAAAGGAAAAACTTTTTTTTTTGGAATTTATGTTGAAGTTTGAGGAAATTTATTAGATAATTAAAAAATTTTATAGCTTGAATTTTGAAAAAGAAATACTTCAAAATTTAACTTTAGAAAATCTACCAAAAAAAAATTAATTTATAAATTAAAGCACAACAATCAAAAAATCTATAGATTTGAATTTTTTAAAAAATTAAAAAATCATGAATTTTTGAAAATTTGAAAAAATCATGGAATTTCGATAAATTTAAAACAAAAATCTTTTTAAAATTTTCAAATCAATGTCATGAAAATGTCATTTAAAAAAGAAATTAAAACCAAATTAGAAAATTTGAATTATCAAATGTCGTTAAATTTTAAAATTGTGTTAAAAATTTATACAAATTGAAATTTGATATCAATATGAAATTTGAATTTTGAAAAGTCGTTAAAATTTTAATTTTTTTAAAAAAATACGTTGAAGAAATGAAATTAAATAGAAATTTCCTCAACTTTTTGCTCAAACTTACAAAAAAAAATTATTTTTAAATTCTAAGCCTACACAAATCAATCCTTTTTTTATTTGGAACCCTAATACACAAAACCAATCTTAAGCTTTATCAATCTTAATGGTTAATTATTTTTCCAAAAAAAAAGTTACAATAAAATTTATATAAAGTATATTCTAACCAATTAAGAATGAAATTCAAGAAAAGAAAAGAATTGAAATGAAACATGTTGTGTACAATTTTTAAAGAGAAAAGAGATTTTTTTCATATTTAATGGTGAATTTCCAAGTAATTGTTGTTAAGAATTTGTATTGAAAAATGTTGATGAGTGAATGGAGGTGTGAATGAATAATTAAAGAATATAGCCATAATGTATTAACATCTGTCTGAAGACATGGCATACATATCTAAAATGGTTTATTTCTACATATTATTTTTAAACTTTGAATCTTCTCTTGGGTTTTGAAAGTTTTCCACAACATTTGCCACAATGTTAAAAAAAACTAAGGTTCATAAAGTTTGTGAAGGGTTGTGGAAGCTCATGCAGATTGTTGGAATTCAAACTTTTTAAGTAAAAAATTACTTGAAGAAACTAAAGTTTTTAATAACTTTTGATTGATGATTGAATTTATTAAATTTTACACTACTTTAAATATTTTTTAAAATTTTCTAGTCAAAGTGATTGGGATAAGTATTAAGGTATGAGGTATTGGTGATTTTTAAATAGTTAATTAATAAGTTTCATTTTCGTAATTTTAAAAATTGTTTTGCATTTAAATTTTGAGTTTTAAAAAAATTTTATCACATAAATTGAAAATTTTGTGTGAATATGAAATAAATGTTTTTATCAAAGGCTGGTTTATGTCTAATCTGAATAAATCTCTATCTTTTTTGCCAATTTGATAATTTCAAACCAATTTTATCCATTCTAAACCAAGACAGATGAGTTAAAGAGTTGCAAAATTCCTGTGCAGGATTAATGAAGAATTTAAAATTGATTAAACATTATTTGTCTGTGAACAGGGAAGGGAGCCCTAAGTAGCTCTAGAAAAGACTCTAGTTCGTTTATTTTATTTTCAAGAAAAATTATGGGAATCAACCATTTTAAAATCAATGTCTTTTAAAAAGCAATGGTAAAAAAGCATCTGATTTGAGCTTTATATTCTCTTATTCCTGCAAAGCCTTATAACAACCCAAAAAAATATTTCTTGACCACAGAATCAGTGATTCTGAATCACTTAATGTTCACTTAAACTGTAGCTTGAAAAAGCAAATAAAATAAAAAGCTACAAAATTTAGCTTCTTTTGAAGTTTTCACTTGCTTTTTCTCACGAATTTGTCCAATAAAACATTTGAAGATGCTAGCCTGAAAGCTTATCGCGAACTCTTTGATCCTTGCTTTGAAATTAGACTCGCTTTCAGTTGACTTCATTAAATTTTTAAGGAAAATTACGACTCTAATTGCCCAAACTGTTCTATGAAAGTTGAATCTCAAATTAAGTCTTCTTGAGCTACTATGCAGCAAAATTCATTAAAATGAAACAACAACAATCATAATTTGCCCTAAAAGAGCTACCCTAATAGCCTACCATTTCAACAAAATATGCCAACACAAAAAAAAGTGCAAGCCAGCAAGAAAAGAGCCTCAGAAAGTATTCATATATCAAGAAACTACAGTATAAATAATGCATGATTGTTATAGCTTCAAACATACATGATATATCAAAAAATTTATATTTATAAAAAAAAAAGAGTGAAATGAATGGTTTAAAACATATTTTTTTTTTGGGGGGAATGAGAAATAAATTAATAGATATGAATATTGCTGAAATAAGCTATTCCAGACCCAAAATTAAATCAAATATATATTTTATGAAAATAATAGAAAAAAAATAATGAAACGAAGAAAAATTTCTTTTCAATTTTTTTTCCTTCCAGTGATACTACATTTCATGATGATTATGCTGACGATGTTTACATTTGCAAAATACATACGGAACATTACAGTCATAAAGATTATCATTCTTACTTGCATCAACGCTTTTCTATGCTACTCAAATATTTATCTTTTTTTTTGAAAAAAGAAAGAAATATGTTTTACTTAAAGCTATATCGTTAAATGTAAAGATTAAATGCATTAAATTTAATCCTCATCAAATACCAAACGAAAAATTTTTTTAAAGGTTTTTAGGAAAAACACCATAAAAAGTTTTCTTTTTGTTTATGAAAGTGTGAAATTTTTGGACTTCTTTGAAAATGTCAAAACAATTCAGAACTTTGTCGTGAAACTCAGTTTGAACCTTGTAAATTGTTCAAATAATTTTCTTTGTGTAATTATTTTTGTTTACTATTTTTTACGCATTTTCTTTGGGCACAATGCGCTTTTGCTGCATGGTTTACATTCCTAAAATCTTGAGCGGGAGCTTTCTAACTTTTAACATTCGATAGCTCGTATTTCTTAGTAAAATTAACTCTTTTTTTTCAATTCCATCTTGCCAAATATATGAATTTGACTCTAACTGTTTAAAAAGTTTGCAAAATTTTGTAGGTTTTGTAGATTTTCTATTAAAAAAGAACGATTTCAAGGTTTCAGAACCAAACAACCCTATGCACGGGTAAGAACAATGATATCAGAATTCCAAGAAACACAAGGAGAATCTTCACCGAAACTCTTTGAAAATTAAAAAGCAAATTCAATTTCAGCAAACGAATAAATTTCTCGTTCCAATGAGTGTTTAAAAATATCGCAGCACTGCTCAATTCAAAAGGAACCATAAAGTAAAATGAAAAGACAAATTTTAAAGTCACAACGAAATGTCTCATCCATACATATTTCCTTTGAAAACAGCATTTTCATTTTTTTATTTCATAACTCAATTTAGAAATTTTTATTCGCTGTGACAAGGATGATGAAAAAGTTGATCATCGTCGTCGTCATCTATGTGCGAAAAGCGCGAAAGAAAAGGAATTTTTCGAAGCATCTCCCTCGATAAAAAAAAATATGTATATAAATGGTGATTGAAATATTGGCGAAAAAGGAATTATCTGCGTTAGAAAAATGAGATAATGTGAAAATTCATGGTATCGGGTGGTATTAAAAGGTTTTGACAGAGAATCCCTAGCGAGACTAACTAGCGAATTGCTAGTCTTTCTATTCTACTACTTGCAATTTACTAGGGGTTCCAGAATTCCCGTTCCCGTAAGATTTCGGGAATCGGGAACGGGAATGATGTCCGGGAACGGGAATATTCCCGGGAATCAACAAAAAAAAAAGTTAAAAGCTACACTTACACCATGTATTTTCTATAGGTTTTTAAATCAAATTTAAATTCTATTTGTTTTGATTGTCAAATTGATTCTTTTGACAATAATTTCCGTTTGAAATTCAATTCTTTTTGGTTTTAGAACAATTCTTAAAGTACGATTTTAACTGGTCTAGCAATCTAGTGCGATTTTTTGAGACAATATTATTGGAGATTGAAAAGTTACGTTCAGCTCTTGTAGATGTTGGTGGATTCCAGAAATATTAATTTCCAGCACGTTTTTTTTATTTTGGAAAAATTACTTTAATCCAATGTCAATTAAGTTTATTATTTTATGGACATCATACATTTAAAAAATATTTTTAAATACTCTTTCTCTTCGTTTTTCATAAATATATGTTTTTGATTTAAAAAACATCAAATTTGAGTTTAATATTTCAACTCTTAAATTCCTTAAGGGCAATTCTACGAGTAAAGGGAACTGCAGAAATTTGCATTGTAAGTTTTCGCTACTTGCAAAAATTTAATTTTTTTCTATCCGTTATATTTCTTGGATAAAAATATAGTGTTTCTTTTTATAAAGTGTATTTCTCCTTTATTGTTACGTTATTCGTTCTTAAAGTGTAAACTTTAAGGCAAAAAGAGGCATGAAAAACTAATTAAAATAAGTTTTTCCATATGTAAAGAATATAACAGAATAAAATTTCAACGGTAATTTAAAATTTAAATTTTTGTAAGCGCTTCAAGCTTAGTCGAAAATATGTAAAATTTCCACCGATTGACAGTTTTTGACAAATTTTAGCTATATTAAAGCATTATTGCTATGTTTTAAGTCAAAGGTTTGTTAAATTTGTGAATTCAAACATTTTTTGGGTAGAGACACAAATCAGAAATGAGTGTTTAGTGAAATATTTAACACTCGTAGAATTGCCCTTAACGTATGTATAGTAACGTACCGACTAT